GTGTGAATTGATTCATTCACTTGTATGAAAGGCTTCTTTTATGTGCTAATCTTCGATTTATTGCATGTTCGAGAACTTGAGCTAAATATACAATTGTTTATAGAGCATCGGAGAATGAATATTTCTATAAATAAATAAATTGTCCTGTCGAGCATTATGTTAACTCATTTTCTTTTGAATTTGGAGCTTGATATGCCCAGTATGCTTAGCTTTTCTTTTCCACTTTCCATTGATACAACTATGTAGATACGGGGCCAATGGTATCTATAAGTTTTTCAAACAAAACATTTTATTGATAATTTTTTCCTTTTTCTATTCCAAGAAATCGCATTTTCTACTCCAATGCAACATGTAACATTAATCTGATGCAAGTTCACATCGGATCAGTTTACATCGTTCAAGAGTTTCCCTTTTTATTTTGCATTATGCATCATGCTATTTGTCCTTAATTCATTCTGCAGGCAGAACATTACCAAAATTACAAACCGGAAGAAGATTATTGCAACCTATATCTAGGAATGGAGTATTCGGAAGGTGAAGATGGAGAGTTATCATGGTTTAATGCTGAAGCAAGAGTTGGGGTTGGAATTGAGCTCAGTATCTGTCTTGGAGTCGAAATGGAAGTTGCGTTGCTAGTTTGAACTTACCAAGGAACTTGAGGACCAATTTGCATATAAATGAGAAATTCAGTCCTATTTGAAGAAAATTAAAATTTGGGGTGTGTCCCTTTACCTACCACCCTTCAACTCCTAAATATAGGACCATTTGGATATTTATTTTGAACATCATATAAATTATTCTTTCATGTCATGTTGCATAAAACATTTTATAGAAGTGATTTCATTTTACATCAAAATCATGATCATAATAGAGAGAGAACTCCATTCGAGTTCACTGGTCGAAGCCATTTGGAGTGCTCCTATGGCTTGATGTGGTCGTTGCATCTTGGGAGATGATTGCCGGAGAACTGTTGCACCGATACGGGGCAAATTCATCTTAAGGAGAAAGTGTCAAACACTTGCTTCGGCTAATCGCATCATTTGCATCTCCTTTTTTTCCTTCATTTTCGATTTCTTTAATTATGCTTTCATTTCAGAAAATGATTACCGTCATTGTATGTTTCTGTGAGATTCGATCCAAAAAATGACTTTCTTTGGTTCAAGAATTGAAAGGGATGAATCTATATATGACTACACCAAAATTTTAAACCATAATTAATTTGGGTAAGAATCAGTTTGTGAACACTAGAATACCTTGCTGAATTATTATGGAATAGTGTGTTTATTTGCTTTTAAGTTTCAATAACCTCCTCGATTTCACAATGGAACGGTTTTGTACGTGCTTAAGATGACAAATTGTGAATTTAGTGGTATCTTGTACATTTTATATGATGCTTTCTTTCCGTCAAAATAATATTGAATATGTTCTGATTGGAAAGAATTTGTATGTTCAGCCAATTGCCTAGTTGCCAACTGCTATTGTGTAATTAATGCATGTGTTTTGTTGAAGAAAATAACAATCTCATGCACTAGTGTGTGTCTTTTCCAATTGTTGCCATAGTTGAGTGTTTAAAAAAAATGGCCAAAGAATATATATTAAATGCATACATTGACAACTGAACCGGTGACTTTGGCCATATTCTGAACATTTATGATTGTGCATAATTGTTTATTCATACAAATTAATATTGGTTAATGTTCATGGGTCGATGCCGTCATTTTAATGAATAGGGTTGTGCATGTACATTTGAAACGTCCATCACTGTCAATAGCATGAATGGGTCCTTTATTACATGTGTTGGGAATACATTTTGATGTCTCCTTGTAAATTTTGTAATTGCCTCAATTTAAAGTATCCAACTGTTATAATGCTAATACAAAATAACAGGCATGTTTTATATGGATTTGTATAATTCAATGGTAGATAAGGTTATTGTGATTGAATGATATGGCTAATGAATGAAATCTGTTTTGACCAAACGCTATTTAATTTGTTGATTTGGTAGTTTCATTTGCTAAGTCCTATTTGCTGGTGATCTTAATCCAAATGGTGTGCCTATATTAAAAGAACTTGTGCCATAAATTGTCTAAGGAATTTTATTATAATTTCTTTAATTGTTTTGGGTATCTTTGCATGTTGAATCCAGAAATTGGAATAATATGATTTTCACTTTAAATGCAATGAAAATACTTTGTGGTGGCTTTTGATTGGAAAGCATGAATTGGCTTATGGCAATTTTATTTGATGGTAAATTCCTTAAAGAATCGCAAATTTTCATTAGAATAAAATACAAAAGCGGATATGGAATGTGATATTATTATTCATTTGTATAAACATGAATTCCAAGTAGTGAATTTATTTGGTGAATACATACAAGAGTTTGGATTTCGGATAGACTTTTGGTTAGTATATGCAAATCGGGTATATGCATATACAGTAAACTACAAATATGGTAAGCAGTAAATAGGGTAGGCTGCAATATAGTAAACAGCAAATACAATAGGCTGCAAATACGGTAAGATGCAAATACGGTAGGTTGCATATACGGTAAGTTGCATAAATGGTAAACGGCATATAAGGTAGGTCGCATATACGGTAAATTGTATGTACGGTATGGTCAATCAGGTAAGTGACATATACGGTATGAAGTTCTAAATCCGGTATATGTCCTTGAATTTTGGTTTGAAAATTATACAAACCTTGATTAATGATGATAGCCTCAATTAATTCTATGAAATTAAATGAGATGATTTATGCAAAATTATAGTTGTATCAGAGTATGACAAAATGTGGTTTTGTCCTAATTATTTTAAAGAGGAAATTGTTTACTCAATTATTAGGATATGAAAATAGTTTATAGAGCACAAATGGTGTCTATAGTTGACAGTGGTGCTAGATATCCTTAAAAATAATGATTGTAAAATGACGTTCATTTGTAAATGATAAAAACTATGTTATGCAAAAACTGTGAAGAATATTATGAAATATTCTAGGATTAATTTCAAGAGGTATGTCCTTTTGTAAGATTGTGACTTTGAAAGCACAACTTGTCAATCTATGGTTGATTTATTCTTTCAAATATGAATATGGAGAATAAGGTGAGTATAAAGAAGATTGTGACTTTGAAAGCACAACTTGTCAATCTATGGTTGATTTATTCTTTCAAATATGAATATGGAGAATAAGGTGAGTATATGCTTTATTATTGGACGTGAATATTCAAATATGAATATGGAGAATAAGGTGAGTGTATGCTTTATTATTGGACATGAATAATATTATTTGTGAAATGTCATAAATGTGAAAGTTGCACATGTCTGAAGATGCTTCAATCGTAGAACCAATTAAATTGGTATATGCTTTGAAAGCATTATTGGTTTATGTGATGACCTTGATTTAATTTGGATTGTCAAATTAATAAGGTTGATTTAAGTACAATTTTGAATGGAAAATGCTTTCCATCTGTGTAAGTTGACAACCACTAGAGCATTTGATATGGATAAATGGATTGAACTATGAAAGAGTCGATAAACTCTAAGTTCAAGAATAACCAAAAAATGTGGGGATTATCATAAATACCTGTAAACTTATGTGAAAAGTTCAAGGCGTGTGGGTGCAATACTACTACTTGCACATATATTCCTAATTTAGGAATTGTGGGGATAACTTAATTTAAAGTTATACTTTCCTGTACCTCTCGAGAAATGGAAGAAACTCCATATGAGTTATGGAAATGTCATCTTCCTTCCTACCAATACTTAAAAGTGTAGGGGTGTTTGGCAAAGGTTGAGGTTCCTAAGCCTAAACAAATAAAGATTGGTCCCAAAAAGATTGATTGCATATTTATTGGATACGCCAATAATAATAGTGCATATCGTTCCCTCATACACAAATCGGATGTACACGAGTGTACAATAATTGAATCAAGTAATATGATATTCTTTGAGAATGTGTTTCCTTGCAAAGATAAGGAAAATGTAAATTTGAATAAAAGAATATATGAAACTACAAATGGGTCTTCAAATGAGAAAGAACCAAGGCACAGTAAGAGGGCTATATGGTAAAAATGACCAAAAGACTTCTGAAGAAGCAATGTCTACTCCTAAGGCACCACATTGAAGGAAGGCTATCAATAGTGAGATAGATTCCATAATGAAAAATCATACATGGAAATCGGTAGATATATCTCCCGAAAATAAGCCTTTAGGGTGTAAATAGATTAAAATTGGATGGATTCATTGACAACTATAAGGCTAGATTGGTTGTCAAAGAATATAGGCAAGAAAAAGGATTTGACTTCTTTACCTACTCATCGTGACTAGAATCAATTCGATAAGGTTACTAATTGCAACTACGGCAATACATAACCTTGAAATTCACTGAATGGATGTGAAAACGAGATTCATAAACGGTGAGTTAGAAGAAGAGATATACATGGAACAACAAGAAGGTGTCTCCAAGTGAAAGTCATAAAGTTTGTAAATATGTTGAGTCCTTATATGGATTGAAACAAGCTCCTAAGCAATGGCACCAAAAGTTTGACCAAACGATGTTGTCAAACAAGTTCAAAATAAATGAATGTAACAAGTATGTATACGTGGAAAATATACTAGATGCCTATGTGATTGTGTGTCTATATGTAGACAATATATTGGTGATGGGCAATAGTCACGAAGTGGTGCTAAACACCAAGAAAATGTTTACGAAGCATTACGACATGAAAGACATGGGTGTGGCAGATGTAATACTAGAGATAAAAATCTCTAGAACATGAAAAGGAATTGTACTTTCCTAATCTCATTACGTTGAAAAACCCTATTGACACAAGTCTACACTTGGTCAAAATAAGGGTGAAAGTATGTCACAATTGAGATATTCACAAGTAATTGGCATTATAATGTATATTAAGAACTGCACTCGATAGGATAATGCTATGCTGTGAATAGATTTAGTAGATTCACGAGTAATCCAGGCCATGATTATTTGGTGGCATTGACACGGGTCCTTAGGTATTTGAAATATACCATAACCTATGGATTACATTTCACAAGATATCCTGTGGTATTTGAAGGATATTTTGATGCTATGATATAGACTAAGCCTAAAGTGGATGAAATGGGATGAAAGTTGATCATGTTGGTTATTTGGATATACAAGAACAATTGGAATATTAGAGAATATTCATGAAGTTCAAATGCATTGCAATCCTTTAATGATAATATTGAAGACCCATTTATGAAATCCACTAGTAAATATGACAGACTAGCGTAACGATTTGATAGAAGTCCTCCAACATTATTTGGAATTGATAAAGCTGTAGATAAAGCTAATGAGAAGCATGTAGCTTCATGAGAGGATTTCTTAGTTGGCGATAATGTGTATCTATCAAATGAATCGATCATTGGCTAGCTAAATTTGAAAAGATACTAAGCAGTTGATCTCATTAGTGTAAACTTCTAGATCTATTTATATATGTTTACCAAGAGATCAAGTATACTGCATATCGAAGGGAATGAGATTAATCCTACTGAGTAAGAGTCCTTATGATGGTAACCCTACCATATTGACTGGAGATCCCAAAATCTTAGTTCAAAGGTTATGAGGATTCCATGAAGCACTTATGAAACTAATTTCCTAACTC